GATCCTCCACCAAAGTCCATCAAACTCTTGATAAAATACTCTTACTAGGTATTATGTTATGTATTTATTTTAGCAAGTAGTCATTTTCTCTACATTAGATCATTAATGACCCACACCCATAGGCTGTGGTAGCTAGCTGGTAGATTATTTTCACTGTATGTTTTTGTACATTCTATCACTGAAAATGATAATATAAAATATAAAATAACACTGCATGGAGTATACACATCTCCGTCTTGGCATCTTAACTTTTTTGAATCGTCGGTGTTAGTAAATGTGATCCTAGAGCTGTTGCTAAAATGTATATACCACATCAGAAGAAGCTGCAAGTGCATGGGTGTCCTCAGTACTGTCCATGGACTATGTGGAATGACATTTCTGCTTCATAAGACTCCATTAGGGAAGGAGACTTAAATATTATTGCATGACGGGCCTTAGTCGACTCGATTCAAAATATTACAGTCTGAAGATACTGGACAAAGGAAGGAATTTAAACTTGAGGCTGAGACAGACAGTGCCCCAAGTTATGCATGTATAGCTAGATGTGTCCTTGTTGCATCAGTTAAACCCCTGTTAGGCTCCATTTAAAACTAATACAGTCTGAGGATACCTGACAAGGGAGGATACTCGAGGACGAGCCCTTGAGTTATCCCCTACATGTGTGACATTTAAATGAAAAGGCAGTACAATAAATGCACATGTAACTCACACTGACACTAGAATGAATATGAATCAATAATTGTCCAAAGTATAATCGTACATTCCTCCTAGTACAATCAACAGTATGTAGCAGTAGAAAAGTTCGTTGAAATTAACAGGCGAACATTATGCATCTTCTTCCTCATATTGCTATAATGTAATATGCAATACTATGATTTATATTACATTTTTACTTTGCTCTAATAATATTTTTTCGTGTTTACTGTATTCTGACACAATTTCCTAAACTTCTTGATGAATCTCATTCAATACCAAGTTGTGAAGTGTGTATACGTATAATACATAAATCTGTATGATATACCACATGACAAACATTTGAAAACAGATACTCACCATTTTCAGTGCTGTTGTTTTTCTTGAACAGCAGCTATGCTAGGGAACATTTATCATGCAGCTTCACATGACTTTCATGTGATTTACATGACTTTATGTATCCACTGCAATCTTTGCCGACCTACAATACTGGAGATAGTTATAAAGCCTTACATAACATACATGTATATCAACATATAAATCCAAAGCAAGAGAAAGATCCAAGCAAGAGCAATTTGATTTTTCCAATTAAGCAGCTAGCAATAATTACCTACATGTATATCAAGTAACATACCGT